TTTTTAGTGTAGGGGGCGTTCTCACTGGGGATGATTTTCCCTTTTCGTATTAAACATTTAAATTTCCCTTTTCGTATTAATAGTGAAGGTTCCTTTGTGTACTATTTTCTTTCTGTTATTAACTAATTCTTCTATTTATCTTTTTTTTTTTTTTGTTTTATTTCTGTCCTTAACTAAAGCCTTTTTAGTTATTATTTCTATTTATTGTTGAGGTTTGCTCTAGGTTTAGTCTTTCTGGGGAAGTTTCTTCTGAGGATATTTGCGTTTGGAGTGTTTGTCTTTTCTCCAGTTTTTTTGGGAAGGGTAGTGGAAAATTTGGTAGACCCGATGGACTATTGCAAAAGCTTTCCCAGCATGAATCTTAGGGTTTTAAATAAAATTGGATAAAGTTAATTTGAAAAGAAGGGGCCAATGGGAGTAATTTGAATTTTGCTGGGTTTAGCGATCTAACCGCTTCTGCAAAGAAAACGCACTCTCAAATGACGTCTTTCCAGTCGCATTCGAACTGAGAGAAAAAGAAAAATCGCCACATGCTTATACCCAAGTCTGGAGCATTCCATTTCAGGCCCAAACTCCTGCTGCGCTCATTCTGTGCCACTTTTTCCCGGTTTTTGAATGCATGCTCCGTCTAGTATATAACCAGTCTATGGTTGAACGATCTGTCTTTTTGACAAGTTGTCTAGATCGTACAGGCTTAATATAGTAAAAAGGCTCATATCTTTCATCCCCAATCCCAGACTGAAATCTGATTCTTAGAAAAGATCCAAATTAAATTTTCGAATGTATTAATGTCATTTATAGGACCGAATGTCCACATCCGTAGGTCCATCTTTGCTTGTGCCAAAATGTCAATTGATTTATCCATAAAATCTTTCAACTCTTCCTCTGTGTCAAGAGACATGACACAATTATCGACATAAAAAAAATTTCGAAGCTTTTCTGCTACTAGACTTTGCTCTGCAGACACTCGAGACAAATGGAAAGAAATGACAGCACCTAAAAGATACAGGCTGGATCTAACACCAAAAACTAGCCTTGTGTGACGATACATCTTTATGAGACCATCCTGTTTCCACCAAAGGAATCTTCAAAAATCTCTATCCTCTTTTTTAAGTTCAATTTGTAAGAATGTGCATCTTATATCAGCCGTAACTCCTATGCGTTTCTCTCTGAATCTTAATAATAAGGCAGGTATTTCTTTGATCAAATTCGGTCCCCTTACCAAACAGTCATTAAGAGAAGGTGCTCGTTTAGATTTACATAACGCGTCAAATACCAGCTGTACCTTGGTTGTAAGACTATCTGGTTTAATAACAGGATGATGCGACAGATAATGTCCTTTAGACTTAAGATCGTACACCGGAACTTTCTCTATCACGCCTTCAGCAAGCCATTCTCTAAAAACATTATCATACTCTTCAAACATATTTTAAGATTTAAGTCTTTGTGTTGTGCTGAGAAGCCTTTTTTCCACAATATTGCGGTTTAACGGTAAATCTATGTTATGTTCTAACCAGGGTAGACCAACACAGTATCTCCTCTCTTCATTTTTACCTAAGGAGCCTAAAAAATGTTTCCAAGCAATATCTTCTTCCGTGTTCTTTGTAGAATTACTGCTGAATCTAAAATTCCTATTGTCTCTAAGTTCCAAAGATTGCATACGTTTAGGTCCCGAAACGTCAGACTTGCATTCAGAGTAGATGTACCACTACTTTGTGGTTCGGAATGCTCCTTAAGTCGACCGCAACAGTCCATCTAATGTAGTGTCAATGCAGTCAAACCTCCATAGAGCTGTTTGACTTTCCCTGTAGAATTGTACCGTAAATGTCACTGCCTATTAGCATCTCTATCTTCGGGCAACCTGTTCCTATGTCTGAAAGTCCATATCTTTTTACACTTAATTCTTTTAAAATAGGGCCCTTTAGAGTAGCGTGCTATATTTCCACATATAACTTCCTGATCCAAAAACACAAATTCCATTTCTTTTCTCATATAAAGATTGAGAGAGTGTAGCTTGATCAGATACTTTTTATGTACTCAATTTTAACCCCTCCAAAAAGCGTGTGAGCTACTGTTTCCTCGGCAGTAGGAATTAGTCCTAATTCCTGTACCATAGATTTCAAAATGTATGATTTTTGTAATCCGCAATCGAGAAGAGCTTGTACTTCTCTCGTGCCTGATTTTCCTAACACATTGACTTTAATTGTCATGAGAGCTACCACTGTATAACACATTTGTCCCGCCGTAGTTGCCTGAATGGTGTCTGGCTCTGTTGCCATTTTCTGCGTTTCTTGTATCTGCAGATCCGGGCAGAGAGAAATTCTGTGAGCTTTACCACACACATAGCAACATACAAACTGTTAACTCGGCTTAGCAACATGTCCAGGCGAAAGGCACTTTTGGCAACACCTCTTAAGCCTAATTTTATTCTTTTTCTCATGACAGAGAGCATGCTTTGTAACAGTCCTTACTATCATGTAGTTTATCACAAAAAATACAGTTATTATCTCTCGTCGTAAGGAAACCTGCTGCCGTAGGGACGTTCGTTAACTGTTTCGATTTAAATTTGCTTTTTAATTCCCTTTTCGATTTATTGCAATACTTGTCTTTTTGCCCAAAAATTTCAAATACACTCCGCACTAACTTAAGTCTTTCCTCCTCTTCCACTTCACATCTTAAAAATTTCATCAAATTAGTTAGGTGAGAAATATTCTGACTTTCCTTTACTTCTCCAAAAAGCGGGCTTCTTTGCCAGGCTCTGAGGACTTCCTCCGAGCATGATTTTACAATGGGATATAACCAACAAACATTGCTTTCCGTTTTAATATCTAAGGTTTCGAGAGCTCTTAGTTTTGCTTCAATCTTATCAAATAATTATGGCAATGGTAATTTTTCACTACTGCCTCTCTTAACATTCGATACAATCAACTTTACAAGCTCTCTCACGTGTACCTCAATTAATAAATCATGATTCCCAAAACGTTCCTTAAGAGCACTAATAGCTTCTGAATAATTTTTCGCAGACATTGGGTAACTGTCAGTAAAGTCTCTAGCGTGCATCCCTTGTTTCATGCTTTGCTCAAGATACTGAAATTTGTCACTTTCATGCAAATCAGGGTCCTCGTGTATTTTTTCAAACTGAAACCAAAACGGAAGCCAGTTCAATAATTCTCCATCGAACTTCTTAAGCTCTATTTTCGGGAGCTTTAACGATCTAGTATTACGAGGTGAATTACTAGAAACACTACCTTGCGACCTAGTTTCTAAATTTATCTGTTCTAAACACCTAACTTCTCACTAACTAAGCGAGAAATGGTAATAAATTCATCCTTATAAATATCCCAGCTTACCATTTCATCGTTAACTTTTTCAGGCGTTACATCAGTCGAAATTATAGAATTCCAAATCTGCTCATTAAGTTCCTCAGTATCGTTCTGTATCATTTGCAACTTTGTAAATTTATCTTTAATTATACCTGCTGAAAAATCATCCTTACCAATTTTGTTTTTCAAAACGAAAGTCTCAGTCTCAGTCAGTCTCAGTCACTTTCAGTCTTGGTAAAGGAAGAACACAATCCTCTTGCATTTTGCAGTTAAAGTATTCATAATAAAACTATCAATTAAACCAGCTTTAATTCACAAAATACCATTCAACAAAATAATTCTAACAGAAACCTCACTGCATCCGCGACAGGACGTTTGTATTTGTTTTGATAACGTAAATATTATAAAAACGTAACGTAAATATTATAAAAAAATCAGAACTACGTCAAGACTACCTGCCAATGGTAGTTCTGCACATAATAAACGTATATAAACCTTAATAATAATTAGACACAGTACTTCTACTATTAGAATATCTGTTTACAATTTCAATATTTATAGAAAAAGAAATAAATCTTATCCTTGGATTCTGCACATGCTTCTTGACGAATAAACAATTTTATTAATATTCGACATCAGCATTTTAACAGTTTCTTTGAATTAAAGCAGGAACTAGGATATTATTCAATAAACAGAACAAAAATACAATATAATATAATACAATTCAATTCATATCAACATTAAATTCATAGAACACTTATATCACTAAGCAAACACGGATCAGAATGTGCATGGCAACGCTGAAAACTGATGCCATCCACAAAAAAAGGATACATAAAACTTGCGTCATTAAAACATTAAAAATTTCGTGTTCATTCAATAAAGTTATTCATAAAACAGTCTCGTGGATATTTCGTGAAGTTTATTGACGGCATTTGGAAAACTGAAAAGTTTTGATGGAGCAAACTGTCTAAAATAATGTTGGCCATCCTAACAACCCCGAATTAATGCAGAGAACTAATGTATGTGTGTGTGTGTGTGTGTGTGTTTTTTCATGTTGTTACTGGAACAAAACATTTATATCCAACAAGGACTAAATTTATATCTAATATTAGTACAACATCTAGATTAAAAAAAAAAAAAAAAAGAAAGAAAGAAAGAAAGGAAAAAAAAAAAAGAAAAAAACCTTTATTAGCAAAAGCAGGCTTACGTGCCAATTCCTCTGAACAAAATTACAAAGTTTCTTAATGAAAACGAAACCTGATACTGTTCATAGCATTTTCATGGAAACTGATTTAAGTGCTTTTTTTAAATTAAAAAGTAGTAATAATATATATATAATATATATTTTTTACATGTAAGTATTTTTGTACTATTTACATTTAAAAATTAGCAACTGAACTATGAGATATTAATTTGTTGCTATTTAGATTTAATTCATTATTAAAAATATATTTTCTTTCTGTATATTTTTATTACTAAGAAAACCTTTTTTGTCGTTGAGGAAATTCTCCTAATTTCTGTAAAAAAACCCTTGATATTTGAGTGATCAAAAGTTTTTTTTCTAAACTTGATTTTTGAGTGTCCGAAATTGGCAAGTATGTTGTTATTTTCTAATAATAGATATGAATCATATCTATAGATTTTTTATTAGCTTCTCATGTTTTTATTATATAGGACCCAATGAAAAAGATGAGTTATGTGCTACATGTGAATTAAATTACTTCCATTGCCCTGGCCATGTTGGTCACATTAAGTTGCCAGTGTGTGTGTTTAATCCAGTATTTTTACCTAAATTGTATCAGGTAAGTTTTACATGTTATTTAGTATTTACTGATAAATTTTTATGAGTTTAGCAATACTTCATACATTCTTTATTTTAAATAGTTTGGTTACAGTTAAGTCATACATGTACAGAATTTTAAAGATCAGTTCATTTTATTTTATTTTTAAAAAATAATAATTATTCGTCATGCTATTTTAACCTAAATTCAAGTTATTTTACACAAAGATGTTTAAGTTACAAAATGCAATTAATTCCAAAAGTGATCATATTAAAAATAATAATCAAAAAGGAACTTCAGAAGGTAATAAAAATTGCAAGGGAAAATAAAATAAAATACAGTGCGAAGTACGAAATCCAGAATTCCAATAACCTGAAAGTTCTAAAATCCAAACTTCCAAATTTACAGCAATTCCCCCCCCCCTTTTTTTAAATGCTTTACACTTGTCATTTGATATTTTTTCATGATAAAACAGGTGAATTCTTAATTTCATTTCGGCACTGACAGCAACCTGGCTAATCATTATTTATTATTTTTTGCTTTCATCACCACTTAACTATTAACAAACTGCAGTTTGAGAAATAACTCATGCAGTGATGTGTAAAGTTTATTTATTTATTTATTTATTTATTTATTTTTAATTTTTATAATTTAAATGTTAGTAATTTAACACCAAGATGCACAGTAACCTTTTATGGTGACATTATGCTTGGGGATGATGATTACAGATGATTTGGTCAAGTCTGGCCAAATTCTCCAGGCCTATGGATGTTGATTCAAAATAATTTGTGTCTTGTTTTTTTTTGCAGGAAATATAATTAAATGTTGTTGTATGTAAAATTAGAAAAAAGCACATTATTCTTATTACAAAATAATTAATCAGTTTGAAAGAATGGTGCAATGCTTACATAATAAATATGCAGTATTAGGATGCTGTATATTGTCAGACTGTTCTTAGATGATGTGAAGAAGGTATCAGTGATACATTTTATTTGTTAGAATTTAATTAAAATATTATTAATTAGGGATTGCTCATTATTATTAATTATGGATTATACATTTGTTAAAAAATTGTGCACATCTGAAAATATGTTTAACTCAAAATGTATTCAACATTTCATATTTTCCCCTCCAAAGTTGTTATTCTTTTGCTGTAGAAATTTTTATCATTGCATCATAGCAATGAATCATTTTTAGCACATTTTAACTATAGTGATTTGGAAAACTGATGGGATTGAAAATTAACAAAAATAGAAGTTGGCAAAATGGACATCAAGGAAAAAAAAAAAAAAAAAAGACTGCGCTAATTTTAAATCAGTTCATTTTTAGGCAGTAATTATAATTTCTGGGAGGATAAACCCAAACTAATCTTTTAACCTCCTCCTTTTTACCCAAATTTACTTTAAATGTGCATTTTGTTACAACTTTGCTATGTAAGTTATTTCTTGAAACTAGGAATGATTAGCAAATCATGAAAATTCAAGTTTAATTAGTGCCATCAATTCTAGGGGGGTCTGATTTTTTCCCCTTCCTTGAAATTACATTCGTAATTTCTTTAAAAAAGTTATATCCTAGTTCTAAAGATCTGCTGAATGAATTCCTTTTACTTGGAAGAATAACTTGCTTTTGCTGTTAAAATCCTTTAGCTAAGTATTTATCAGATGACATTAGTCTTCCAAAGCAAGAAGTATGTTGATCGGGGTTTGCCAAAATTTTAAGTAACTAAAAATAAGAAAGAAGTTTGTGATATCACAAAAATGAATTTTTTTCACTGCCTTTATTTCATACAGTTAATGTAAATTGGATTTATTGATTTAAAGAAAGACTGTATTTTTCTGCCTAGCAGCCTTGGTGAGAAATGGAAATTGGCTCATTTCAAGATACTTTCTGATATCCACATTTCAACAGTAGCTGTTAATAATGCATGCATGGAACACATTATTATGGCCATTGTGATGCTTAAATATAAATTCGGCTGGGTATGACTCCAGATATTGGGAAGCTGTCCACTTATGTTTTTTGTTATACCATTTGTGATTGGTACCTGGAACTAGAAATACTCATCATTATGGTGAATGCTTCCCTTACAAAAATGTCGTATAGAATTCTATAACAAAATCCAGTGTTAAACTTCTTTAGAATCCTTTAAAATTATGGCCCAGTTTTTTAAACCAGGTTAGAGATTTTTCTAACAATTTTTTTAAGAATTTTGGATATAACTTCTATACAGAGGTTCTTACCCAAGGGGGAATTTCTAAGGTTAAGAGGGAGAATGTGGCAGCTTTTTGATTAGCTTTTAAGTATTTAGTTTAATATATGAATGTGAAGAAGTACTTTTACTCAAGTTTTCAGTATTTACCAACATTTTCCATACTTTTTAAATACTTTTTTTGTAATTTATAAAATACATTAGAAAATAATCTAAATATGAATAAATGCATATGTATTTTTCAAGTTTTTAATAGAAGGCAGAGGAATGATAGGTTTATGCAGATTCTATAAAAATTTTTACAAAATATCTAAAAGTCCCACTTGTAGAATCAACTAATAGAATTCTACTAAACTAGTTTTTAGAAAACTGAGCTATAATTCTAAAGAATTTTAACCAAGTTTTCATGCTTAAAGTTTCTATGAAATATCATAAGATTTTTTAACTCTGTCATCTTTTGAGTAATTAAAAGCACTATACAATCAACAAAATTTTCTTTTAGGATTGAAAAGAATGAATTAAATTTTCATTTTTGAATAGAACTTTGTAACCTTATTTAAATTTTGAAATGGTCTATGACATGAAGTGAATGGGATGATGTTTCTTCCTATTAAACACTTTAATGCCATTTTGATAAAAAAAAAAATTAAATAAAAATAATGCATTTTAAATAATAGGCAAGTTTATTTAAAAATTAAAAGGACTACTTTCCTTATCAGGCTTTATTTATATACATATGAAATATAAAATCTCATACATTATTTGTGTTGTGCAGCCAGAACAACAGAAATGAGACAGATTTTTGGAATATAAAGTGATACGTTTATTTTAGCATCCATCTCACAAGCATTTCTTCTGTACATCGAGGAGAAGCCCTATTTATAGATATGTGTGCGTCATGGTGCTCATCCAATCAGCGATATTAATTGAAATCGCAGGTGACGCTATCTTCTCATCAGGAGTGTTCTTAAGGACTTTATGTAATATGACAGATTTAAGAGTTTGGCGATTCGGCGGGCGGCAACAGGTTAATATAATTTATAATAAAGAAAGGATTTCGCCAAAATTTCAGAACAGGGATGCAATTTAGGTATAGAATTGCCAACACATTATTAAGCAATATAATTAGAATTTAATTTAATCAATTTATTTTAAAAATATCATTACAGATTATTCCCCCCCCACACACACACACAAGCGTGTACCTCAAGGAGAAGTCCTATTTATAGATATGTGTGCGTCATGGTGCTCATCCAATCAGTGATATTAATTGAAATCACGAGGTGACGCTATCTTCTCATCAAGAGTGTTCTTTAGGACTTTATGTAATATGACAGATTTATGGGTTTGGTGATTTGGCGGGCACCAACAGCTTAATATAATTTATAATAAAGAAAGGATTTCGCCAAAATTTCAGAACAGGGATTCAATTTAGGTATAGAATTGCCAACACATTATTAAGCAATATAATTAGAATTTAATTTAATCAATTGATTTTAAAAATATCATTACAGATTATTCCCCCCCCCACAAGCATTCCTTCTGTACCTCGAAGAGAAGCCCTATTTATAGATATGTGTGCGTCATGGTGCTCATCCAATCAGCGATATTAATTGAAATCACGAGGTGACGCTATATTCTCATCAGGAGTGTTCTTAAGGACTTTATGTAATATGACAGATTTATGAGTTTGGTGATTTGGCGGGCGCCAATAGGTTAATATAATTTATAATGAAAGGATTTCGTCAAAATTTCAGAACAGGGATGCAATTTAGGTATAGAATTGCCAACACATTATTAAGCAATATAATTAGAATTTAATTTAATCAATTGATTTTAAAAATATCATTACAGATTCCCCCCTCTGAAAATTTAGTTATTAGGAAATTAAGAAATTAAGTGAGTAGGAAAACTGATTGGATTTTACTTAAAGGCACACAAAATTTTGACATAAAATATTTGAAAATATAATTAATACAGTATATAAAATATGATAAATTATTAATGAAATTATAATATAGTAACTAAGTGAAAGAAAAAAATAAAGCACTAATAACTTAAAAATTGACTATTGAAAGTATTAAAAGAATTGCAGAAAATGACAGTAAAAAAGATACAGAAAAAAGTGATCACGTGACATCATTAATCAAACCAATCAAAATCATCATTAGGCACTTGAAATTCTAAGAAAAATTCATCGACTGAAAGGTTGCCAAGTGTGATGTCAACCTAAAAGATTACAACGCTCTTTGGTATTCAACTAATAATATTAAAAATTAAAAAGAAGGCCCACCAGTGGCTGTGTGGTAAAATCACTGAATATTGGTAGTTTGGTCCGAGGTTTGAATCCTGCAAACAAATCCTCCAACAAAATGCGAAAGCAATTTTTTTCTTCTATTGAATTTATTTGTGCATTACTAAACAAATGCTACAATGGAGAGTGAACTGAGATAATGAAAATAACTGTCAAGGAATTTGTATCAGCATTGCCAAACTTATCCATTTCTGCTTGAAATTATGTTGCAGTTTTTTTTTTTTTTTTTTTAAATTGATGTTCGTTATTGAACTTTGTAATCAAACAAAAATGTTATTATTTATTTTCAATTTATTATTTTATGTATTTATCAAGTTTTTTTCATATTTATGTCTTATAATTTATTTTTATATATTATACTTTATTTTCGGAACTCAAGCGAGTAACTTGAAATTATGAAATGGGTTACAGGTTGCAAGTCCTGATCTAGTGATCCGCTTTTGGACTTTGTACATTATAAATTTTTGATTATTATTATTAGATTAATTATTGAATTAG